ATTATTTATTCGAATCATGTTATAGTGATATAATTATTCGGAATACTTGCAGCAGAAGTCCCAAACTTTTTAAATATTAGCAGATTTTCTTCTAACCTTTCATTTGTTATAACAGTCACCCTTAACCTTTCAAAATGTTACATTTGAGGTCCTTTTGGATAGAATCCGTCCAATTTACCATTAGTTGATTTAAAAAAGTGATTTTGACCATATTTTAACTATTTTCTATAAGGACAAAATGGTGAACTTAATTTATTTCCACATAAATACAATAAAATAATAAAAAAGGAGAGGAAAAAGCCCAAACTAAAAAAGTCATACCATATGCACCGTCGAGCGATGGACAATGCTACCAAAAAATACCGCGCACTGACGATATTACACTCGTAACACACTCTAGCAAACAACTAAGCTAAAAATCATTTTGGAGGAAGAAATATGTCAAAAATAGCCTTGATTTTCATCACCTTCAGAAATCTAGAACACCACTTCCGACAACACCCATTACCATCAACCACCACCATTCATCTCACCTAATCTAATAGTACATTTTGATGGAACATCACAAAAATAGGCCCAAAAATATTACTGCAATTTTTGGGAAAATATAGCTGATTCGCAAAATCGTCATAGGCAATCGTGCCTCCTCCAATTGATGGGACCCACACTATTTTTCCATCCAATTACGAACAATCGAATGCTCAGCACTCTAATACGACCTTAGGTAGACAATCAATTAAATCAATTCAGCTTTCAATTGCCGTATTCATTACTGTATAATAAAGAAAAGCAAGACATATTCTAGCTTTGTAAATTGTGATGAATCCGCGAAGTATCAAAAACTCGATGTTCAGCACTGTCATTATTGATAGTGCCGACAGTGGCTGCTTCTAGTCTTCCCTTCCTTCTTGAAAAGACCCCCACAAGCATTACAAAATGATTGCCAAATTCATAGCCATTAGTTTACACTCTTATAGTTTAATCACGAAGAATAGAGAACTAAATTTCTGAATGTAAAATTAAACCTTAGGGCTTCTTGTATTGTTCCTACATATTGGAGTAGAAGTGGTGCCACAATTTGCATACCGTCGAGCCAAAAGTGGGTTCCCGTCGGAAGTAGTTCATCTTTTCGCTACAAACCCATAGATTTATGTCCAGTTAAAACTATGACAGTACCAACTTATTCAAGAATTGGGTAAAGCCATTTTATGCATTATAAAGAGAGAAGTTTGAAGATTTTTGAGATTTGTGTGGTCAGCTAGCGGTGGTTCATAGATGGGTAGGAGTATTTGGTTTGGAAGAAGCGTAATTTATTTTCCTTTCTCCCATTTTTGGTTTTTTTTTAATTATTTAAATTGTTATTTTATATGGTAATATTATAATATTATCAGATGCAACGGTTTGAAAAATTTGGGATAACGATTGCAACAAATAAAATATTAGAGGAAAGTCACTTAGTGTTTAAAAGGTATGGGACTTTTGCTAAAATTATTCTTAATTATTAAGGCTATGTTTGTTTTCATTCTTTGGCCAAAAAAATGAAAAATATGATTGTTATCCATCACAAAAAGCTATCATATTTGACTTCCTCTCTATTGTGTAAGTCCCGTAACGACTATATTTTTCATTCTCATTTTTATAAGAATGATAATCAAACTGGATTTAATGATTGACATAATATTGCATTATATACTTCGAACCTGTTTGGGAGTGATTTTGAGAATTGATTTTTTGATCATTATGAGAAAAGTGGGATCCACATGTGAGAGAAGAAGTCAAATATAACTGCTGAAATAGTAAAATAACGGTCAAAAAATTAATTTTTTAGGTAAAAAAATCGAGCCCAAACAGGCTCTTTATCATTGAACTGTTTTGAATACCATTAACTTTTTAATCCAATCAGATCTTTCCAAATTACACTATGGGCCTGTTTAGGACCGATTTTTTCACCTAAAAAATTAATATTTTGACGTTATTTCACTATTCCAACTGTCATATTTGACTTCTTCTCTTACAGATGAACCATACTTGTCAAAAAATCAATTCTCAAAATCACTCCCAAACAGGCTCTATATCAATTCATCGGTCAACATTTAGCCCCTATTTGAGCCCTATTACATTAAATTCTATTACATTTCATTTTTCTATCTCCTATTTTCAACCACACAATTTTCCATAAAATAATATTACACGTAAATCGAAAATTTTTCTTTTTTTTTCAACCACTCATTTTTCAAAAAAGTATTATTCCCCCGTTAAATTTCATACATAATGGGAATCAAACAGGGGCTTAATGTCAAAGTGCCATAACCCTATTTATCGACATTTCTTGCTCATCTCCGGACACATTCTCACTACTCATACTGCCTTAAACAATGGCCGCGGAGCCGCCGCCCGTGCGTTTCGGGATCCTGGGCTGTGCTAACATAGCTCGCAAAGTGTCCCGCGCCATGATACTCAGCCCCAACTGCACTATTGTTGCCATTGGCAGCCGCTCGCTCGAGAAAGCTGCTAACTTTGCAAAAAACAATGGCTTCCCGGTTTCAGCAAAGGCGTACGGTTCTTATGACGCCGTATTGGAGGACCCTGACGTCGACGCCGTGTATATCCCTCTGCCCACCAGCCTCCACCTCCAATGGGTGGTTGCCGCGGCTAAGAAGAAGAAGCACATACTTTTGGAAAAGCCGGTGGCTCTGAATTTCAAGGAGCTGGATTTGATCCTGGAGGCGTGTGAATCCAACGGGGTGCAGTTTATGGATGCTACCATGTGGATGCACCATCCAAGGACTCCTAAAATGAAGGAATTCCTCTCTGATTCTCACAGTTTTGGCCAACTTAAAACGGTATGCTTTGTGTATTTTGATAATATTACTTGTGAATTTTTCAATATTACTACCAAGATAAGTAGATTACTTATATTTTTAAAACTTATTTTTTATTTTAAAAGAAATTTGCTTATAACTTCTTAAGCTTCGCTAAACATGCTGTAAAATTTTATGGACAAGAAAAGAGCCTGGTAATAAACGAAAGGGAAGGAAAGGGCTTTCGGAATTCTGTTTAGAACACCATAAAAATTAAGTACTGACTATTAATTGATGAAGGGGATTGTAGATGTCAAAATTTACTGTTTTCTAGTAATACTGATTTGTCAACCGGAATTTCTCTGATATAAGTATAGCATCATTTTTCAGTCGGATGAGTATGTATTAGAATAGTGAATGAGCAGATATTAGCAATCTTGGATGTTCAGTTTTCATGTGCGAACTACTTTCACCAAACTCAGTATTTCTCTGCTATTATTATATATAATCCCAGTGAAGAGTTGGCATGAGTAGATGATGTTATCTTTCTAACAGGTACATAGCATTTTTTCGTACAACAGTGGCGATGATTTCCGGAAAAATGACATCCGTGTGAAGCCAGATCTTGATGCCCTAGGTGCTCTTGGTGACACCGGCTGGTACAGTATTCGTGCAATCTTGTGGGCTGCTGACTACGAAATGCCTAAAACTGTAACTGCTTTGCCCGATGCAGAGTTCAACGAAGCCGGGGTAATTCTATCCTGCGCTGCTTCTCTACGTTGGGACGATGGGAAAAGAGCAACTTTCTACTGTTCTTTCCTCACCAATTTAACTATGGATATCGGTGTTCTTGGCTCCAATGGATATTTACGTGTCCATGACTTTGTAATTCCTTTCCAAGAGAACGTTGGACCATTCTATGTGACAGCAAACACCAAATTTGCTGAGCTATCAATTGGGATTGAACCTGCACCAACTGAACACAAAATCTATACAGATCTTCCCCAGGAAGCCCTTATGGTGAAGGAGTTCTCTGGTTTGGTTTCTGGTATAAAAGAACACGGTTCGGGTACTGAAAAGAAATGGCCAACCATCAGTAGAAAGACACAGATTCTTGTTGATGCTGTGAAAGCATCAATTGAGAAAGGTTTTGAGCCTATTGAGGTTGTGTTCTAGTGGTCCAAGATTTTATGATCCTTGCTTGGAAAGATGGTTTCAATGCTTGCAATGTTTACTTCTTACTACTATCGTGGGGTACTTTGTAATAATGTATTGATTTTGCTTTCGAATAAAACTTTGGCTGCTGGGGTTCTAAACCTTCCAAATAATTGCAGATTACATCCAAACTTTCTTATTTTTGTGCTGATAGTCGCTAATATTTTATTTCGATTACAGCTGGAGGAGAAATGAGAATAGCTCACATTATTATGTCATTTTTTCTCCATTTCTCTAATAAGCTTTTTGTATCAGTTTCTAATTTAGACAAGAAAAAAATCCTGAAAAAAAAAATCCGAAATTTTAAAGAATTCACTCAAAACATCGGTGAAATTCAGAGTTATCCCATCTGGGTTTTGTCTATATGACCAGGATTTTGTTCGAATCCAACATCCAAGGACAAAGGTTTCCTTCTTTTTGTCATTCACTGTAAAAATGGCACAAGAGATAAAATGAGTGATTCACTGAGTACAAGTGAAACCAATAATTTCCAGATGGTTTCAAGTCTCCTGACGTTATGGCGGTGTGGCTGTGGTATGCCGGCGATGGTTATTGGTGGGTGAATCAACGTTGGGATGATACAAAAGGTCATGCCTTCTACATCCTTTGAAGGATCACGACGAAGGAAATTGACCTCTTCCAAGAAAGATAAAACATCCCACGTTTCGGCCAAGCAATCAGCAAAACCATCGTACCCATCGATAAGTGTGCTATCTTACTCAACCGTAGAGATCGAGACGGCTGAATCTTTCGTCTCCTCCACACCCGACAAGTAAAGCTCTTGTAATCCCAGATGTAATCAACGTTGAGCCTGCACTAAAAAGGAAAAATGGCTTGGGAGGTGCCGTAGTTGCCGATCAACATTTGAATTTAACGGGACGATGAGATCACTGGACAGTACTAGTAAAAGATAAATAAAATTTGTTCAATGTACTTCGGAGTATTCAATACCAAACATGCATTTCTTGATTATAAGAAATATAATTGTTCAAAGTCAATCATCCACTCAAAATTCTCCAAGGTTTATATACAGAAACTTTATGAATGTTACAAAACAATAAACATGGATACACATTAAAAAGCAAACAATAAAGCACAACCAGTGATCAATACCTAGATTGCATATATATTGAAGTGCTTAAACAAAACTAACATTAAAAAACACACATTTAACTAGAAATAGAATTCGACTGCGCCACAGGACACCACGTATTTGATGCTATGAGCTGCAGCAGCTATATTGCAACGTATATCGCATTCCTAAATCCCAACTGAGTTTCAAGATTCTGCATCAATAAATGTTTGAGCAACAATAAAGGATCCCGATCGTTGAAGATACAATATGAGCAAAGAAAATCCATTAACATTTCATTTCTTTGTATTTCTCTTTCATATTCGATTTCTTAGCTTGACCTGACACGTGACTATGCTTCATCCTCCATGAGCAGCATGTTGTATCCCTGCTTCATGTCTGCATCGTTTCGAAGTTTTAATCAAGTTGAGAAAAGAACAATTGACAAACAAATTTGAATGTCAACTGGTTATGAAATCAGACTTTATAAAGCACTAGGTAAAATAAACAGACTGCAGAAAATATACATCTATATGTTACATACATATATACAAACATAAATGCATATATCGTACTGCATGTAAAGAAGTAAACAAGTACTAAGTTTAAATTAGAGTAACAACATTTCTACAGAAAAAATCAGGGTTTCAACTGTTTGAAAAGTCAAACTTGGAATTATATCAGAAAGCCTATAATATTACTAAATGAGGAAGGAGCTACTAAACGTTCTGTAGACTGTGCCAAGTTAGATCTTTTGTGGACATGGGATTAGTTCAGGACTGGGTACATAGTACTAGATAAGATAGGAATAAAAATAAGAATCTCTCTTTTTACTGTGGGATCTTATCTGATACTGCATACTGAGTATAAAAAATATTGCTTTGAGATATACCTATTATTTAGAATCAAAAAGTTGAAGTTTTACCTTTTGTCATAGCTTTATTGTATCTTTCTTTCCGTTCAATGTCAGCCTTCCATGCACGATCATTCTTACCAAAGTCATCTCTTTCATCATTTCCTATATCACTTTCACTTGCAGTTTCCCATTCAGAATCATCAGTCTCTTGTCCATACATATCCCCAGCGTCCCCTTCACATTGTACTCCCCCATGTTTAATTGCAGCCTCTCTAAATAACCAAGCAGCACGCATTTGTTTCTTAACTAAACGCTCAGCATAGTCAGGAACCTTGTTTTGCCTCAAGGACAGATCGGGATCACTCGATTGGGAGCACTCGTTTATGAACAGAATAGCATCTAACAAACTCTCCTTGGCTAAACCGAGCATGTCATATGCTTGCGCTCGTCTCCAAAGGCTTTTCGCATGACGATTAATTGGGCTATGAATACAAAGTGCACGTGTAGCATCACTTATGGCAGCCAGTGGCTGTTGTAATAAAAGATTACACTGAGCTCGATTACTGTACAGTACAACTCTCTCTTTCTTTGACCTCATTGGACACAAAGCCAATGCTTCTGAATACTTCGAAGGAGCACCAGAAATATCTCCTGATGAGAACAGGGAATTTCCTTCGAGTTTTACAACTAAAGCAGCTGCCTGTTTGATATGAAGATCCTCTTTCAGCATATTTTTCTCCCATTTTAATCTCTGTCGAGAATTTAGTAGCTCCTCTACCTCTTCTTTTGCATGGGAACTGATTGAGTTGCGGCCTGCTCCTTGTGATTGAATGCATTCCCGAAGAACATTAACAATTGAATCCCCAAGTTTTTTATGATCCCCAAGAGTTGAGATTTCTGCAAGGTCAACTAATGCAGGTACAGCCTTATCAATAACCTGCATAATTAGTGCAAGGAAATTTAGAATATCCAATCATGTAATGGATTTTTTTAAGTGCTTATATGCTGGTCAAACATCATTTTAACCACACATCCTCAAAACTCACAGCTTTTATTTACTTTTTAATAACATATTTCTTGGAACCCAGTGCTTATAAGCACTTAAAAGCTTAGCCAAGCAAGCACTAACTCCATACTCTATAACAATTAAGTTTATCTGTCATGGTCAGTCTGTTCTCATTTATGATATGACATGGAAATTGATGAAAGTTCACTTGAAGAAACTGGTTCCGAATAAGAAAGCGGAAACATTAACAGTCGAACGGTCAACAGATTTTTGGATTCTAAATAACAATTCTTAGTGATCAATTTATCAAAAAATAGAGAAAATATCTCAATTTATAGGTAGAAGCTTATTTTCAATAATTCATGCCTTAAATGAGCCACATGATATGCGAGATAAGAGAATCACACACTCACAGGAAAAAGACTAGGCAGGAAAAATTTGGACTTTTTAAGTATATTCATGACTTCTCTTACATGGTTCATTATGCATAGGTGAGTGAACATTTATTTCAGACATGCTTAGACTAAAAAGGATACGTCAACAATGATAAGAAGACTAGGAGAATCAATTCTTATGCTTCTTGAAATGAAGATTTTGAGCAATTTAAAACTCGTGCTTGTTTATTTCAAAGAAAGACGTAGGATTAAAAGGATGATCGACATTTGACAGAAAATGAAAAAGAAAACTAATGTGGTCTGGAACAGTGCTAATAAAGCAGTGTTCTAAAAAGAGGCACCTAGGCACGAGACGAAGGCGTTTTGCACTTTCTTTTTTTTTTTGTCTTTCTTATCCTTTTTTAATTTTTTTTCACACCTAGTCGCACCTAGTTTCACGGGGTGCCTTTCTTCTTGGCACAGAAAGGAACATCGTACGGCAGTAGTCTGCTCCGCTAGACTACCTTCCGCCTTTTCTCGGTCGCGTCGGGACGAAAGAAAATTTGATTGCAATTTTGTAGAAAGCTTACAATTGAGAATTTGAATACATTGAAAGTAAATTGAACATTGATTGCTGAAAACTGAACATTACAATTGATGAAAGCAGAAAATTACAAATGCTGGTGCAGGGGGCGGACACCAGTGAGCTTGAAAGATTTTTGAATGACTAATACCTCCTATAATAGCATTCTGAACAAAAACCCAAGTGACGGGAGTAGACGTTTAAAAGACGAGGAATCATACTAATCTTTTACCAATATCAGAGCTATTTTACAATTAAAATAACTATTACAATGAAACGAAAATTACAACTCAAGCTTAAAGTAATATTTACAATGTGCGGCCGAAGTTGGGCAAACTGCGGCTGCGATAGTGTCAAGGGGCTAAGTAAAGCTGCGGTCCTTGACATTCTCCCCCATTTGTTTTGGCGACGTCCTCGGTGCCATCAATGCATGATACGCTTTAATTAATGATTTGAAGGCCCCGAGATCTTTTTCTCTTTCCCAAGTATTCTCCTCGCTGCTGCATCCCATCCATTTGACCAAGTACTCCTGATGATCTTTTCTAGAAGCCCGAGTGATTCGATGGTCAAGAATAGCTTCAGCAACCTTCTTTCCAGCTTTCTTCAGTTCAAATACAAGTCGCTTTGGCTCATTTCTAGATGCGTCCTCCTTATCCGAAAAGTATGGCTTCAACACACTAACATGAAGGACCTTGTGGATTTTACACCATGAAGGGAGTTCAACTCTGTATGCAACTCTTCCAATCCTCTTCACAATGGGTAATGGTCCAATGTATTTTGGTGACAATCTTGAGTCCTTCCCTCTTGTTGGTTTGTAAACATTTCTGTCGGGAAGCTTAACCATTACCAGATCTCCAACATTGAATTCAATAAAACGACGCTTAGATCTGCAGCCTTTTTATACCGTTTTTGAGCTTTTTCAAGATAGCTCCGAGCAATTTCAATATTCTGTTTCCACTCTTGAGAAAAGCTCTTTGCTTGAGGGGACTTGGTACTTCGTTCAATATCCACTGTATGAGGGAGTAGCGGTTGCTGGCCAGTAACAATCTCAAAAGGACTCTTATTGGTGGAAGAGCTCTTTTGGGCATTGAAGCAAATTTGGACCGCATCAAAAAGTTTTACCCAGTTTTTCTGCGAAGTAAAGATAAAGTGCCGAAGATATTCTTCTAACATAGAATTGAAGCGCTCCGTCTGTCCGTCAGATTGTGGGTGAAAACTGGAACTCATGCTCAAAGTTGAACCAAGAAGTTTGAACAACTCAGTCCAAAATATGCCAGTGAAACGAGGATCTCGATCACTGACGATGTCCTTAGGCAGCCCCCAGTATTTGACAATATGTTTGAAGAAGAGTTGAGTTGTCTCTTCCGCAGATACATACTTAGGCGCTGCAATGAAAGTTGCATATTTTGATAGACGGTCCACCACGACAATGATAGTGCCAAAATCCTCAACTTTTGGCAACCAAATAATGTAGTCCATCGATACACTTTCAAATGGCCGGGATGGAACGGAAAGGGGCTCCAGCAAGCCCGCCTTTTTCTGATGATCTGCCTTATCTTGCTGACAAATAAGACAAGTTTTTACATATGTTGCAATGTCGTCCCGCATTTGAGGCCAGTAGTATGCACGTTGTAGTAGTGCACAAGTGCGTTCCTCTCCAGGATGCCCCGCCCAAATTGTGTCATGGCATTCCGTGATTAGTGATTTCCTCAGATCTCCACCCTTAGGAACATATAGGCGGTCTCTCTTTGTCTTCACTAGTTTTCCATCTAGCCAGAAGTCGAGTTTTACCCTGCTTGATAAGGTCGACCAAATATTGAGTAGCCGGGTCCTTCTCCATAAGTGCCCGAATTTGGTTTTTAGTATTCGTGGAGACTGCGCTCCCTGAAAGAGCAGCTATAGAGCAGATGGTAGCTAAATCGGCCCGTCGACTAAGAGTATCAGCAACATAATTACTAGAGCCGGGACGATACTCTAACATAAAATTGAACTCTGAAAGGAATTCCTGCCAACGAGCCTGTTTGCTCGATAGTTTTGGTTGGGACATAAAGTGACTAACTGCAGTGTTATCTGTCTTCACAATAAATGGAGACCCAAGCAGATAGTGACGCCATCCTCTGAGACAATGGACAACTGCTAACTATTCCTTTTCATGTGCCGAGTAACGACGTTCTGTCTGGTTTAACTTTCGGCTCTCATATGCTACCGGATGTCCTTCTTGCATGAGGACTCCACCAAGGGCAAAATCTGAAGCATCTGTATGAACTTCGAATGGTTTAGCCATATCCGGTAAGGCTAAAACCGGGTTCGTCCACATGGACTTCTTCAACCTTTCAAAAGCAGCTTGGCATTGGGATGACCAATCCCAATCCTTATCCTTCTTTGTCAATTCAGTAAGGGGCAGTGCAATTTCTGAGTAGCCTTTCACAAATCTTCGATAGTAATTGCATAACCCAAGAAATGAACGTACATCATGTACGGTTTTTGGTGGTTGCCAATCTTTGATGGCTGTAACCTTCTTCGAATCCATGCGAATTTTGCCTTGTTCAATGATGTGACCCAAGAAACTGATAGATGTCTGAGCAAATGAGCATTTAGACGACTTAGCATAAAGTTCATTCTCCCATAGCCGATTAAAAACTTGCCTCACATGCTGGACATGTTCCTCCAATGTCTCGCTATAGATTACTATGTCATCCAAGTACACCACGACAAAATCATCTAAGAACCCGTGAAGTACCTGATTCATCATAGTACAAAATGTTGCTGGAGCATTTATCAAACCAAAAGGCATCACCTTAAATTCAAAGGCTCCATATCTGGTTACCACCGTAGTCTTTGCTTCGTCTCCCTCCTTAATCCAAACTTGCCAGTATCCGGACCTAAGATCAATTTTTGTGTAATACTTCGCCCGACTCAGTCGATCGAAGCAATCTGCAACCAGTGGGATAGGATAGCTATTCTTTACAGTAATCTTGTTCAGGGCTCGATAGTCACAGCACATTCTAAGAGAACCATCAGTCTTTTTCTGAAACAATACAGGAGCTCCGTATGGCGACTTTGCAGGCACAATGATTCCACTCTCCAACATTTCCCCCAACTGCTTCCTAAGCTCTTCAAGCTCAGGCTGAGACATACGGTACGGTGCCCTGGCGGGAGCTTTAGCGCCTGGAATAAGTTCGATCTCATGATCAATCGTCCTTCTTGGTGGTAATTTCTTTGGTAATTCTTCCGGCATGATGTCCTCAAATTCCCGAATAAGCCTTTTAACGGGTTTTGGAATAGGACCATTCGCCTCTTCGACCTCCTCTAATCGAAGAGTACACAAAAAGGAGGGTTCACTTCTCTTGAAACCTTTACTAAATTGCATGGCTGAGATACTCTTCTCGCCCATCCTCCCAACCTGTGTAGGGATGACACACGGCTTATTACCCATCATCATTAACGAATCGGAATATGGCAACACTGCTGTCTTAGTATCCCGAAGAAATTCCAATCCCAGAATAAGCTTGAAATCATCCATCTGAACTGCAGATAAATTTGTCCTCCCCTCGAAAGGACCTGCTTTGATGAACACCGATTTTGCCACTCCAGCTATTGGTTAAGCAGCGGAGTTGATTGCTTTTACTTTTCCACTACCCTTTTCTAGAACCAGTCCGAGCCGCTCTACTTCGGTACATGCAAGGTAGTTGTGGGTAGCACCAGTATCCACCATAGCCCTGATTGGCTTCCCATTGATTTTTACATCAATGAACATTAAGCCTTTGGCCCTACAAATACGAGCCTTCGCTTCTTCCATCTTTGCCTCTTTCAATGGAACATCATTCTTTTCAGCAACCCGATGCGATAGTGTGTTGCACCGATGTGAAAATGCCCCAACTACTTCCTTATCCTCTTCAGAGTCAGTCTCATTATTACAATTAGCTTGCGGGACCTCTTGTTTTGAACTTGGCCCGCCACTTGCTAATTGACAATATGCATTCACCATCCGCTTCTGAGGACACTCCGACACCCGATGAGGTCCTTCACATAAAAAGCACTTCAATTTGAGAGTGGCATCAGTTCGGCCCTCCGTTGCTTTTCCTTTGTTCCAGTTGTTACTATTACTGCCGTTAAAATTTCCCTGACGGCTGTTATGATAATTTTCCTGAAAGCCACGGGTGCTTTGCCTGACGGCTGTTATGATAATTTTCCTGAAAGCCACGGGTGCTTTGATAGGCTCCTTTTCTATTTTGAGAGTAGCGCTCTCCCCCATTTGGGTTCGAGCTGGGTCTGTAAGATCTGTTACCACCTCCAATTGCTTGATTACTCCCTGAAGGTCGATCTTTTCTAGATTCTGTTTGGTAGTCGCTCAAACATTCAGCGGCTCCCATGGCCGTGTTTAAATCAGTAACCTTCTGTCTTTGAAGTTCCGTGCGTGTCCACGGTTTCAACCCTTCCATAAAGGTGAAAAGCTTGTCCTTTTCTGACTCAACATATGCCCTGAGAAGGATTTCACATACTCCCTGATAGAGCTCGTGTGTTTCAGGTCTCGAAGAGCCCGTCGAGCCTGATACTCGACATTTTCCGGGAAAAACTGCGATCTGATCGCTTCCTTGAGGAGATCCCAAGAATCAATTCGAATCCTGTGGGCCTGAATGTCCGCATATTTGGTTCGCCACCATAATTTTGCATCTCCACCCAAATACATGGTAGCTGTGGTTACCTTTCTAGCTTCATCTTCGATCGAAGCTGCTAGAAAGTACTGTTCCATATCAAACAAGAAGTTTTCGACTTCTTTTGCATCACGTGCCCCTCCATAGGTACACGGTTCAGGAATTCTGAGTCTAGGAGCATACTCGTGTGCGGGAGCTTGCCCATTGCCCACCGCACGTTGGAATACTCGTAATTGAGCTCTCAACGCTTCCATTTCATCCTGCAGATCAGGAATGATTGCAGCAGCTTCCGTCATTACTGCGCAAGCTCTTTGGCTTTCATCCAATTGGATGTGTAATCCACGAATCTCAGATTCGGCCATCTCGACTTTTTCCTCGAGACCTTCCACAGCATAGCACAACCTAGTAGCTGTCTCATCAAGCGCATCCACGCGCTGTTTCGTAGTACCCTTCTTGGGAGGCTCTACCACTTCAGTGGTGTGTGATGTAATTGGATCCATAGCTTTCTTATCGAGGGTCTTGAGCCGCAGCTCTGATACCAACTTTCACGGGGTGCTTTTGAGCAATTTAAAACTCGTGCTTGTTTATTTCAAAGAAAGACGTAGGAATAAAAGGATGATCGACATTTGACAGAAAAAGAAAAAGAAAACTAATGTGGTCTGGAACAGTGCTAATAAAGCAGTGTTCTAAAAAGAGGCACCTAGGCACGAGGCGAAGGCGTTTTGCACTTTTTTATTTTTTTTTTTGTCTTTCTTGTCCTTTTTTAATTTTTTTCACGCCTAGTCGCACCTAGGCACGCTTTTTAAGGCTTTTTAAAGGTTTTTTCTTTAATTATTAAATAATTTTAAATTGATTTAAGATTATAAATTATTGTTAACACAAGAAAACGTTTTTTTATGCCTAGGCCAAAGCTTGGTCTCCCCACTTCACCACACTTTACGTTTTTTTGAAAACTGTAATAAAGTTATGTCCAAAGTACTGAAATACAAGGACACATTAAAAATTTTAAATATTGAATATTTCAAGGTAAAACTTTATATAGATAGATGACAAACAATTAAGCCAGACAAATATTTGCAAAAATATTATAATCAATTTAAGATATGACATAGAACATACCAAAATGATCTGATACGGATAAAATCATTTTATGAACCTAGTTCCCAAATACATCATACATGTTTTTTAGCATTTTGCCTTTAGTGAAGAAATTTCTTCATTTGTTGCTAAGTGAAGACAACAAATCTCATATTCTAGTAATACGGAAGTTATATATTGCATCTGTTAAAACTTCAGTGACCAGAGGGAGGCGAATAAAACTATGTTTAAAAATTTAGTGAATGTATCTACTAATGAAATGTGTTGAACAATAAAATCAGCATATTTAGTGAGAAGCATCTTATTAACAACTGGTAGTGAATAAATGCTATGGAAAATAGCACTAAGATCAATTACCTTATTACTAATATTTGGATCTTGGAGCAACCATAAAAGACAGTCAATGGCCATATACTGCCAATCATCTGATGATCGTGCAATATTACACAATGCCTCTATAATGCCAGTGCAGCTAGCGACTGGTCCCCTGCCAATCTTATGATGACAAATTGTCCGTAATAAACCAATACCGGCAGGCGAGTTTTCATTAACAAGTCCACCCCACATGCCTGGAAGTTTTGTTAGAAATTCCGGTTTGCATATAGTCGGAAGAAATTCAGATTTGAAAGCAAAGCAATTGATGAGTTGAAGGGACCAACACTGAAGCTGGCTAGCCCATTCCTCGGCTTTCCTTGACTCCATTTCAACACCGCCCATGCCACGTGTAAGAAGATCACAATGATAACCGAACCTCTGGTCAACATACTGGTAAAAGTGGGAGTATACAATTTCAAGTGAACTCACTGCCAGCTGCATGGAGAGCTCTAAAATCTCGCCATGACTAGCTACAGCAGGAAAAGTGCTGGCATAGGTCGCTAAATGCCCTAGAGCTCTGACAGCCACTCGTTGTTCAACCCATGTTAACCTCCCTCTAAGAAGTTCAACTAAGGGTGGGATTACCCCGGCACGCACTGCTGTTTCTGCAAATTCTTCCATATTCATAGTGTAAGATCCAATTATATGCGCTGCATAGTATGGGATATATATATTTTGATCGTGGGATAGCCAGCGGCGGTTCTTTAAACCCTTCCAGATAAGCGCTGCCATGCATTCAAATATTCCCAACTCGATAAATTCGGGATCATTGGGATGCGCCATGGCAGTATTCCAAAGTCCACTAATAGGTAGAACCTGACCATCGTTATCCTGTGAAGGAAGATCTCGGAAAAACTTTAGTATACTTGCTCTGCGCTTGCTCGGGCTCCCTTCCTTCATGACACAAAAGAAACATCCTGGATATGGACAGTCAGAGGATACTTTATCCATGCTCACAAAACTAGAAAACCTGGTTTTCTACAAATCCTGATAATTAATTCCTCATCAAGCAGATACCTGACATAAATATGTGAACCCCACATTTGTCAAATTGCAAATTTTAAAAAATAATGACTTGCAACCCAACTGTATCATTGTAGTTATAATGGTTCTTTTTTTGCCAGTGAGAATGATTACATGATATAACTGAATTAAATGAAATCATCATATAATGATGAATCATGTGATAATTGCAAGCATGGAATTGTAGGTAGGAGTATCTGCTTTTGTTAACAAACGACAAAATCCACAATCCATTCATGGCAGTATAACCAGTTAATTATTACATAGCTTATGGTTACCACATTTAATCAAAATGCCCAGAACAAAGAGCAAATGTCATAAACACAACTTTCCTAATATTTTTCTTGTATGCAGTGATCTTTTGTTAATCTAAACCAGCAATGCATTAAGTAATGAAGTTGCAAATCTTTTAAATGAACTTATCATGTTTCTGAATGTCCACAGATATCATTTATCAATTACACATGCTCCTTTTTCCTACAGTCTATAAAAGAACGTAAAATCATTAATGAAACGTCAGCTGTTCACATAGAATTAACTAATCTTCATACTACACAATTGCCTATGTTAGAATCAGCATTCAGTAATTTACATCTGCAGCAACCATTATTAGCAAATCACGCATGCTTACAAGCCCAAGTGACTAAATTAGCAGAAACTAACTAATTTTCAGGAAAAGGGCCAAAAATTCAAGCATTCGAGAAAGTCAGCAATGGAAAATGCAGACACAAAGAAAACAAATGAATGGAAAAATCCAGTTCTTTTACAAGCCTTCGCAGTAAAGATCAAGTATGCTTATTGTTTCCATCACAAGGCACACGAGGATAAGAAAAATTTAACAGAAATCGCAAGGCACACGGGAATAAGCAAAACACGACCCAAAATTAAGCAATTCTTTAACTAGCAAAATTTTGGATTTTAAGACAAAGCAATCATCTTTCGATGGTTCATTTTCACATGAAGACACCCAATTTCAGAAATCAATCCACAGTAGCATAAATCCTACCAACATAAGCAAACGGGAAAAGGGAACCATTTTGAGCAAGAATTAATTCCCGAAAACGCAAATCACAGAGAGTTAGCTCAAACTACAGAAAAAAAAATTTAAAAAAATCAAAAACAATAAAAATGAAACAAACCCACATTGATTTTCACAGCAGAAATAAAATTAAAACAGGAAAAATCAAGACTTGGATGAAAAAATCAAAAAGGGAGACAGAGAAAATGGATAAAAGTACCTCAAGATTTAGAAGACGCCGAGTGCCAGAAAAAAAGAAAAACAAACACCACAATCCTCGAAAAGAAAATATCTTTACGAATTCAAAATGAATTTTTCTTTTTTTTTTTTTTTTGGTTCTGTACTTCTTTTAGGTTTTGATTGATGACAGTGCACAGTCAAGCAAACAAGAGATCTTGTTATAATTTTTTTTCTTTTTTTAATTTCAAAGAGTTTGTAATTATCTACAGTATCCAGAATTGATTGGTAGGATCCCACGCATTATCTCCAGCATTATTGTGCTTTCAAATTAAACATTATTGTGCTTTCAAATTAAATTTTCTTTCTTTTTTTAAATTTTTGGGTCCATTACCCATTTTCTTGCACCTTTTTTTGTCTAATATAGGGGGCATTACCGTTGTAGGTCAAGTACTACTTTTTTTTTTTTTTTTTATCGGTAGGTCAAGTACTACTTTGTTTGATGTTGAAGTTGATTGTACTTTGTGACACCTACGTTTATGTCATATTACTCGTAACAAAATGGAAGTGAATGGGGGCAAACAATAATAAGCGCCCGTTTGATTGCAAAAATAAAATTTAAATAAAAATAAAATAAATTTTAGAAAATTAAATTGTCTAAAAATTATTTTTTTGAAAATTGTAAATTATTGCATTTGATTGGTATAAATTTTCATGGAAAAAATGTTGAAATAAGAGTGTTTTTTGTGTTTGTTTGATTTTATTTTACATAAAAATTATCAATTAAAGTGATAGAATTTATTAGTATTGGGGATGAAATTTATTTCCATTGCAAAAAAAAAATCATCTATCTTTTGATATTCGTTTGACTTTGTTTTACATGAAAATTGCCGATTAAAGGAAAATATTTTTTTTACAATAATTCTTAGAATTTGTTTCCATTGTCAAAAAAAAAAAAAAAAAAAAGCGCTACAATGACTAGAATTGGCCAATTCAAGGAAAATGTGGAATTCGTCTGAGGTGACAAAAAGTTGGAAAATGAATTTTCGAGAAAACAATGCTATTCCATTTTCTAGAGAAAATTTTCATCTATCAAACATATCCTAATATTATCCAATAAAAATGAATTTGATCTGTTCATTTTCTTTGATGAGAATTAAAATTAAATTTTTAATAAATTTTGATAAATTTTGATGAAATATAAAAGTTGTGAATTTCATTAAATGTGTTGTTAAAATTAATTATTAACTTTGAGTTAAATTAAAATTTTAATTTTAATCTCTACCAATAGAGGCATAGACATAGTAAGTCCATGTTTGAAGCTCGTCTTTTAAAATTTATGAATCATGCTACAAGTGCAGAATTTTTTGATAGAAAAATCTTACAGATAACACATGACGCAACATTATTGAAATATGGGGAAAAAAAAAGAAAAAAACAGTCCACTTGCATTTTGCCACGTCATTGTCGGTAAAAAATTTGTTAAATTTTTTTTGTAATTATGGCTTTTAGCAAATACATATTTTTTTGACAGAAAAACCTTACAAACAACAAATGACACGACATTATTGAAAGATGAGGGGAAAAAAAAAAGAAGAAAAAATATTCCACTTACATTTTACCACATCATTGTCGGTACAAATTCTATTATTATTATTATTTTTTTTTTTTTGGTAATTATGGCTTTCTTGAAAATTTATTTTTCTCCAAATTTATTTTTAACTACACATTCTCTTGCATATAAAAAGAATAATACTAACTTTTAATCATACATTTTTTCAAAAAATCAATTATTACAAAATTTATTTTAAAAAATGGATTACACATGGGCAAAAGAGAAGGAATTACGTCGAAGTTAAAGCAAATTAAGAACTAATTGACTTAACTATGTTTTCAAGTTCGCTCTCTGTAAATGTGTATAAATTTTGTCGAAATGGTATTGTGATAGCTTAGTCCATTTCTTGACTATGTTCATTCTTGCGAAGGTAAATGTTGGTTTTGAGAAAATGACCAAAAATCTTTTTCGAAAAATGATGTTTATGGTTGTGAAAATATATTGTAAGAGCTGACTATGTCAAATGGATTTCTATTTTTAATGATGAAATCTATAAAATGGTTTATGAGTGCCTTGAGGATTGATGAAGTTGTTTGAATAAAATGTTTTATGAATGCTTAAAAATAGATAATTTAGTGGATAGATATATTAGTAGACAAAGAGAACGTTCTAAAAATTGCAAAAAATGAGGAAAATGAATGTAATATTAATTAGTACATTTCGTCTGTAATAATTATTTTTATCCAAAAAGTCCTTTGAAATGGTGTAAAATAATCTATTTATCAAACATATATTTCACAAAACAATAAAGCGGGAGTTCAACAAAGTATTTTTTTTCTCATATGTATGACAATAAAGAATTAGGAACATAAATGTTATAATGAGTAAAGATTAAGAACCTTGTGCACAATTAAAATAAGGTGCAACAAGTTAAAATTATGGTATGAATATAATTACCTTAAACATAGATAAGTAACTTACTTCTTGTTATGTTTAAAAAAATGTGATTTATTCTGACACTAAGTTACAAGTTACATAACTTACATATCTTGAATTTAATTGATAAAAATATTATTTATTTATAAATTTATTTACTTTTATATAAATTTATTAGTAATTTTTCAGATTAATTTACATTAACAAACTAAAAAATAAAACTATTTCTCAAACCACTATCTAGATTTATTATTTTTTTTTTCCAAACAATGTCTTTCTTAATTTTTTTCGAGTACACTTTGTAGCACATCTGTTACACAAGTAAAACAATGAGTTACACGTTCCATCACTAATTTTCACTTATGTCATTGATACTATCACTAGTAACAAACTTCGTGACATTTACATTACATTGCTGCCACTTCTAACATCATGTTTTATACTATTGGTGCCGCTGCCACCATTGATGTTGTTTATCTCCCACCGTCGTGGCCATTACCATCGACCACCACGAAGAAAATCACATGTTGTACCATCAAAACCACCATCCCTCCTGAATTTCCACCACCACAAAAACCATCATCTACCACCATCAGGACCTCCCATCAAATCTACACACCATCAACGCCATTGTTACAACCCACCGATCCTATCAACCATTATCATTTGGTACCTGTTTCTACTTCGCAAGTGCATTTTGTGCTCTTATTGAGCCAAATTATAAAGCTTTTTATATTGTCGAAGTGTTAAATTTTACTTAAATTAATTTTCACTTGTTTTAGTTTTGGACCCGTTCATAAACAATTGGAAAAGAAAGATGATTTGATGATTTGATAGAAGGTTTGGGAATTAATGTGCACATAAGAAGTTGAAAGATCAAAATACGCATGACTTGTAGTTGATGACTAAAATAAAAGAAAGAATGAAAGAAAGAACTAAAGAACGAATTTTAGCAGATTTTATAACTGGGCAGGTGCCCAGTTATAATGGCCAGGCAAGTGCTCGGTTTTCTACTAGGTGATTGCCCAGGCCATTCGTAGCCAAAATTATTTTTCCTTTCAAAATTCTACTCAAATAAGGAAACTTCTATTTAAGCCATTATTGCATGATTTTTAGACACGTTTGGACTCTTTGGATACTAGCATAAATACAACTTATCAACTCTAAATTAGTGGGATCAAAATATCATTCCACTCATCTCAAGTGTGAAGAATGTGTTATACTATTGGAGCAAAAACTAGGATTTTTATTGGAGGGTTCATTCGGATTGACGATCAAGTGCGAAGAATGGGTTATACTATTTGATTTTCTTCTTCTCCGGGTTATGAATTTCATCTTTTGTATTAGTTTTTGTCTCTTTATAATGTAAGGCTAATTTTTTTTATTTTTTTTTTTTTGGCGTGCTAGGCCTACGATGAATCTTGTATCATGATCCTTTAACTCGTGATTTTATTTATTTTTTGAATGATTGACATGAATTTATTTTTCTCTATAATTATATGCGTAATGGTTGTATGAGATTGTGGTTTGTTTTACCTTCGAAATATTGACAATAAGTTGGACATAATTTCAATTGTTATAAATTCCGATAGAGAATAGAAATATAGCGTTATTTTCTACATGATCTTTAAGTAATCATAAATCTTAAAATGATTCTTGTATGTTCGCATTCATCATAAAAATATAGTCGAGTCACATGTAAGGATATGTTTAATTCCAATCGAGAGAGATTGTTAAACAATTAAGGTATATTGATTTTTATAATTGAATTATATTGTCAAATTGTAGACTTCGGGGTTAACGGTGATTGATACAAGGGACTTCGAGGATCCTAGTGCGCTTTTAATCAACAAATATTCATCAAACTTGCATTCATTACAATTTTGTATTAATTTTAGTTAAGTTATGACACAACCCGTCTAGAATCACCCTAGTGGACCCGAAATGTAACGTGCGCCGATGATAAATGCTAACTAGATGTCAAATCTATCACCAAGGCTGACTATGAGTTATTTCAAAAAATACAACAAAATCAAATGCTTATATAAAATATAATGCGATTGGCCCGAAATATCTACTTCGTACTTCATCAATATGAGTTATAATATTCAACATGTCGTGTGGCTATTATTCCGAAATCATTAGGCTCTTCCAGTTAAAAAGAATCAATTGCTACCTGTAGGAAAAATCGTGGGAAAATATATTAGTTGATAGCTCAGTGAGTGGAGAAATTCGAAAATAATTATACTTTTTTCAATTTTACATTTCTATTAAAAATCGAGTTCATATCATTTAATAATTCACAAGATAACATCATGTAATTATAACCAAAAGTGAAATATTCACATAAGGTTGTAAAATACCATTTCAAAATCATAATATAAATATCAGCTGATGACCACGCTATAATCTCATCACATCAAACATAATGAAAAATCCACAAAAAATGTATCCTCTAATTGAAATATGAAATCCGCCCCTCGGGTTAAGAATTTTCGTCACGGGCCTTTGGCCCCCTCCGTGAACGAAAGCTGGTCTCAAAGATCTCTATTAATTAATTTTAGAACACGGTTAAGGCTCCTCAGTAACTATATGTACACAGTCGAGACCCCTTCATCATCGGTTCAAAATCCCTCGGTGTAGTATAGAACACTGCCAAGGCCCCTCAGTGAACTAAAAGAAATATCTAATCACAGGTACTTTTCTGGTCGATCTCAAAATCATATCTAATATTTCAA